TCTCATATGGATGTCATGTATGGCATCCAACTCATTCAGAAATGTTTAAACTATCATCTCTATACAACCACTTCATATTGTGTTCTTAAATAGCCTCGTCAGATCTAGACTCTCATATGGATGTCATGCATGGCATCCAACTCATTCAGAAATGTTTAAACTATCATCTCTATACAACCAATTTAAATTGTGTTCTTAAATAGCCTCGTCAGATCTAGACTCTCATATGGATGTCATGTATGGCATCCAACTCATTCAGAAATGTTTAAACTAACAGCTACATATAACTGCTTTTTCAGCTCAGTAATTAAAAATGGATTCAAACAAATTAAGCCTATAGATCTTGAAGAAAACCAACCTTCAGCAGACTTATGCTACCTAATTGCAAAGAACTTTATCATATAATAGAAAACAAGTCAATTGAAGATTTTCAACAGCATCAAAAACTAAAATAGGTAGCACATGTAAGGAGAATGAAAAATAATGATATAATGAAGATGTTGACATTCCACACTAATGCAAACAAAAGGTTAGGAAAGAAACTACCCTTTAATACTAGAAAGAACAATAATTTCATAAACAAAAACAGGTAACCAGTACATTTTATAGCATTGGCCTAGTATCACCAACTGCTATATACAGTAATGTAAATACATGGATAATGTTATATGCAGCGATATAAAAATCTATGAATATAATAAATATCTCAGATCTATTTAAAATATTCTTTTATAAATCAACATACCATATATAATTTTGTAACACACGATCTCGCATATTGTGCAACCTACAAATTTTCACTTAGAAAAAATGATTTTATTATGTATCTTGCAAATCATGGGAGTTTCTTTTTTGAGAAACCAAATTACAATAGACTAACCTCTTCTCTTCTATCTTTTTATCCCATCTTCTAGTCAAATAAGTTAAAAAAATAAAGAGAATGATAAAAGTATCATTAGTAATGCTATACTTGTTGCATAAATGTGTACAGCCATAAACAACTGAACAAGAAAGAGCTAAACATCTTATAAATATAGACAATGTAAAAGATGCATATTTGCTATGTTTGTATCTTATATGATACTAACATGTGAATATCATATGCATTTTCATTGGATACAGTTAAATAAAACATCAGTTTTATCGAAATCATGTTTATTTTAAATACAGCTGTACTTTTTGACTACAGTAAATGGATATATAGTTTGGTCAACGGTATAGCAGTACGAACATTATGTTTAAAAGTATCTTCAAAAGTCATGATACATGAGTATATATAGTAGATATTATTTGGGTCAGAAAGTTGTACCTTTGGTCAAGCTCAAACATGTTACGAATCCATTTTTTTGAATATTTTATTTTTGTTCTTCTAAAAAATAAGAGTGAACATAGACAAAAACTATGGGTCGTTATGTAAAGACATTTTTCCTCTTTTTTTTATTTTCTTCATTCTTTTTTCTTGTTACCAGTTCTCACTTCATATCAAACTATGTTCATTTTGATTTATTTCCTTCTTTTTTTTTTTTAGCCTCAGAGCCTCTTGTATAGATGTAGACACCAATATATAAAAAAAAAAAACCCTGAAGAACCTAATACTTTCTAGTAGTATTTAGTAGTGAAGAACAACTGAAGTTTAATAGTTAAACCACAGGGCTGAAAGATGAAATTAAGGCAATGCCCACAGGCTATAAATATCAATTTCTCTAGTAAATTAATTCAGATATTCTGGCAACAGTTATTTGGCAACTTGGCAATGTTACTTGATTACTCCCAACCCCAGGTGCTTGAGTACCTAGAATGACCATAACAGTTGCCTGATACAGCACTCAAGATTAACGTCATCCCTTAATAGGAAATAAACCCTATTTCCAACACAAATTTCATACCCACATACATACCATATTAAAACATATCCAGACATTATTTTTATTCAATAACAGACAATATTACAAGCATGCCAAAAAGATTACACAATACAACACACTGTTTAAATCAAAGTGTCTATTGATTAAAAATTAACATCACCATGTGAAATATTTGACCAATCAGAGAAAACTAAAACCCTATTTTTCTCAAGCCTACTTTTGGGAAAAGTTTCTTATAAAAACCCACAGATTCTAACTTTCAGAGAGCAGAGATGTGGCTGTCTCAAAGCCATTCAGATGCAAGAGATGTGGCTACATAGCTTTTTCTTTCACTCCCAGCATATGTTGAAAGAAACACATGTCGGCAACTTCGAACAAATCAACAACAACAGTAGGCATGGCCAGTCGACAACTTCAAACAAATCATCCCCAACAACAAAGACAGTCAGTGAATCTTGTATTTTTAATTCAGTTAATGATAAAGATAAATTTTTTCTGTGGACCAAATATTTAAGTCTTTTCTAAACTACATCTTTTTCTGTGTGCCAACTACCAAAGACTCAACTAAAGTCTATTTATACACCTTTTCAACTCTTTTGAATTCATGTAAATATGTAAGTAAATGCAAATGATTTATTTAGTAGGCATACCAATATTTTCTTTATTTTTATCTTATTATTGATTGGAATTCTGTTTAGTTTGGTTTGGTTTACAGCATATCAACCCATTCGGTCATTTAATGCCAAAACTAATTTTTTTTAAAATAAAGTTTGCATTTACACAGTCAAAAAGTTTTATTTTAAATAGTAAGACTACTATTTGTTATGGTTATTTCATTTTTATTATATTTTTTGAATCAGTTTAATTTCTCTTAGAAACTGAAATATGTAAAATCTTTTTTTCCTTACAGAAATGTATTGCTGGTAATATATTTTTTTAACAAAAACATATTGCTGGTATTTTTACTATAAAAATGTATTTTTAGTCTTTTATAGTCTTTTGATTCCAGTTTGGGGTTTAACTATTTGCCAGTAGAGGGGACCATAACAGGGAACAACAGCAATTAAAAGGTGGTTCCAGTCTACTCAAAACCTCCTGATCAGAAGCCTTATTGCCGGATGTAATTTATTGTCATACCCAGGGCACTGGAATTCAGAAATTTGGATTTTTAATATAAACAAACATGGATTACCAACACTTTCCTCCTGGGGACATTTGAAAATTAATTTGTAATGACTGGTTAGTTTTTTTTTGAGACGATGTCTGGACAATACAAAATTTTGAATTAAAATTTTATTATATTTATTCTAAAAGCAACTAATTTCTTAAAAGAAAAACAAACTTACTTGTCACAATAGTGGCAAACTTTTAATAAATGGAGCACACACACACACACACACACACACAAAAAAAAACAAAAACAAAAAAAGTAGTACTTAAGTTTTTAAGTACTACTTTTTAAAGTGGTGATTGAAACCCAAATGAATGTGAATGAAATTTAGATATTTGTATTATTTATCACTAAAAGTGAAAAACATTAGGATCTAACTGAAAGAACTGATTTTGATTTTCTGTCTTTATTTCTGAGATGAGGTATTGTAACGATTTACACTATTTACATTGTTTGGAGGCATGGTGGAGTAATGGATAGTGGCACAGATTGAGGAATCGGAGAGCCACATTTGAATGCCAGTCAAATCCATTACATTCACTTACGTGCTAATACCCTTAGGAAAGGTATGAATCCTCTTCTTCTCCCCCCAGCTATGGGTAAATAACAGGATAGACCAGGTTCTATAGCCTTAGAAAGCAACTGGTCTACCGCAGAAAGAAATGGCAACCTACTGCTGGAAAAAATTTGCCTCATCAGTCATGTATCAAAAGATACATGATTGCCTAAGTGTGTATCATGCATAGCACATAACTGACTGACTGACATTGTTTGGACTGTCGTCCTTATCATTATTGTCATATTCACAATGTTTCAGCCGTTGTTAATTTTTGGTTAAAAATCTAGAATGAACCATTAACAAACGTTTATTATCTTTTGCTTATCATAAACTAAATTAAAACTACAAGGGTGAATTTAAAAAATGATAAACAAAACATTTAGTTATGGCATGAGGTATGCAATTGTGAATGAAAATTTGTTGATAAAGATTTAAAAAACTTTTGATTGTGAATAATTGGAATGCACTAATATTTTTTTTATATCGAAAAAAGATTTTTGTTAATCATTTCACTCCAAGACAAATATTACTACTAAGATGCAAGAGGCTACTGGAAATGACAGACTTTAGTGAGGAGAAAAGGACAATAAAAGAACAGGTTCAGGAAGTCAGAAGATGGAAATTGACACTGGATTTAAATTTTTTAAGATTGTAGGTGGAAGGAAAGCAAGAGAAACTAATTACATTAAGTCCTACCAGCTATCTCTCTGTAAGCAGAAGGATTGCTTGGTAACCTTAAAGGTAATTATCATGTAAGGTTTATATTTTTATATAACATTTGGCATTTAGCATACATTTTTAGTTGCTGCATACATTTTTTGTCCTGAATTAAGCTCTGATGAGAGAGGACCAATGAACTAGTTTAGTGGTCTTTTTTTATTAATTATGTTGTATTTCGATATTGCCACTTTATGGTAATGGTTTGTTATTAATTTTTCTTTTAGTTTTAACGTCTGTTTTAATGAAATTTTGTACCTCTGCAAAAACATTTAAATTGTTTTTTCATTAAGTAAATACATGGTGGATTGAACAGTAAAGTCCATCAGCTCTAGTCCCATGAGCCATCACCATATTGTCACCTGGTACATCTAACATTATAAGAAAAGAAGAAAATAAACAGATTAAGAAAAGAAAAATGAAAGAAGATAGCAACTTAATGACAGAAGCATATTTTTGATGTGATCACAACTCTTTGATTTCACATGACTGAGACTTTATTAGAATTGACTGATTGTGTGATGTTTTCCTTTTTATTTTTAGACAAAATCTGTAAAGTGTAAATAAGGAAAATTCTTTCTACATTTTCTTTGTTTTCCAATTTTCTTTTTTTTTTCAGTGGTATTTCCTTTCGTGTGTCAAGTTTGTTTGGCAAAAGCAATCAAGCGTGAAGGGAATCAAAATTAATTTATAAAGATTTATTGAGTCGTATCTTAACAGAGATGAAATGACATGGAGAGGGGAGAGGTGTTGGGGGATGTGAAAGGGTGAAGGATGAAACAAAATAAAGAAGAAAGTAGAAGGCGAAAGGAAACGAGAGTGTAGATAAAGGGATAAAGAAGAAGAAAGTGTAAGGGTAGAAAACAATGGTAGAAAAGAGGGAGTAGAAAATGAAGAAAGAAAGAATATGAAGATGAAAAAGAAATGAAAGAAAAAGGTAAGATAAGTAAAATAGATAAGAAATAGAAAGAGAAGAAAAACTGAAAGAATATGGAGAAAGACAAAATAATTATAAGATAAAAAGAAAGAATATGAATATGAAAAAGAGATGAGGGAAAAACAGAGAGATGATTAAAAAGGATAAGAAGTAATAGAAAGAAAAGAGAAAATGTGTAAGAATATGAAGAAAAAACAAATTACTATAACAGAAGTATGGAAAATAAAGAGAATATGAATATGAAAAAGAAATGAAGAAAAAAGAGAAATAAGTAAAACAGATAAAAATTAATAGAAAGAGAAGATAAACTGTGAAATTCTACAGAAAGAAAATAAGAAATTATTATAAGCAAAGGAGGAAAAAAGAATATAAATATGAAAAAGAGAGGAAGGAAAAATGAGATAAGTAAAGACAGATAAGAAGTAAAAGAAAGAGAAAATCATGAAAGAATATGGAGAGAAAGAAAAAAGAGAATGTGAATATGAAAAAAGGTGAAGGTACATAAAAAAAAAAGAGAAGTAAAATGGATTACATAATAGAAAGAGAAGAGAAGATATGAAAAGAATATGGAGTAACAAAAAAGGAATTATTATCAAAGGAAGAGGAAAAGAAATGTGAATATGAAAAAGAGATAAGGGGAAAAAGTGAGCGAAGTAGAACAGATAAGAAGTAATAGAAAGAATATGGAGAAAAAATTTATTATCAGTGAAGGAAGAAAAGAAAAGAAACAAAATATGAAGATGAAAAAGAGATGAAGGAAAAATGAGAGATGAGTAAAACTGATAAGAAGTAAAGGAAAGGGAAAAGAAAACCATGAAAGAAAATAGAAAAAAAAAAAGAAATTATAAGAGATGGAGAGGAAGAAAAAAAAGAGAATGTGAATATGAAAAAGGGGTGAATGTATAAAAAGCAAGAGAAGTAAAACAGATTATGCAATAGAAAGAGAAGAAAAGCTATAAAAGAATATGGAGTAACAAAAAAAGAATTATTATCAAAAGGAATAGGAAAAGAAAAGTGAATATGAAAAAGAGATGAAAGAAAGAAAAAGAAAGATAAGTAAAATGGGTAAGAAGTAATAGAAATAGAAGAGAAGCCAGGAAAACATATGGAGAGAAAAAAGGAAGAAATTATTATAAGAGAAGGAAGAAAAGAAAGAGTCCCACAGAAGACGACTTATACAAAGAGAGAATAGCTATGGGAATAAACAAGAGAAAGAAAGAAATAGAAATAAAGAACAGGAAGGGGTGAGAGAGAGAGGGAGAGAGAAATAAAGAAACCAACATAAGAAACATAAAAATAAATTGGATTAAAAAAAATATAAATTGGAAAGGAAAATGGAAAAATAGAACCTGAGCAGGATATCCTAAAAAAAATGATAATGTCTTTTCATCCATCTAACTGAAAAGTCAAAGCAAGAATTTTCTAGTCTGGTGAAACCTTAATCTAAGGTTAATTTTTTTTAAAACTGCTGCTTTGGTTGTCATTTGAACATGTCTGATTTTTTCCTTAAGCATATGTTCATTTCTTTAAATCCCTAAATTTCAAAGATTCCTTTTGGGTCCACTTCACAGAATTTAAAGAAAGAATTTCATTTTTTTCTTCATTCGGTTTACTGTTTGTTGGAAAACTACCCCCAAAATATTGAACAATTGAGTAGGGTGAAACAAATTATGATTGTAAATATAATTCATACCAGTAACTAATTATCACTATTCTTAAAAGTCATATTTACAGCTTATAGCTTCGTAATTATGTCATCTATATAATGCAGTCTCAACTATTTAATTCTATATCTTCTATGGATTATCAAAAAACTTATAATACGTCTTTTTGCATTTTAAATATACTTATAATATCTGATGGCTGAGCTATCAAAATCTATCAGAGTCAGTCAAAATGTAATGTCAGTTCTAATTTAATTTTAAAATTACTAACTAAATAACCATCATTTCAAACAGAGAAAAGTTGTCACAGAAGTTCTCTTATCTCTATAAATTTTTAAACATTTCAACAAAACAGCTATTTCTAAAGTTCTTTTTTATTATTATATTGAATGATTTGTTTTCTATTGGTTATTAACACATTGCAAGCTATTTAAAGCCAGAAAATATTTTTAGATTGTAAGATTTTTTTTTTTTTTAGATAATAAGAACTTAGTGATACAAGTTTTGCAAATTAATCCATAGCTGGAGGGAGAAGAGGTGGATTCATACCTTTCCCAAGAGTATTTGCACATAAGTGAATATAATGAACCCAACTGGAATTGAAACTTGGCTCTGCAATTAATAATTTCACGCCATTATACATTACACCACCAACATATCCAAGCTTAGAGCACCTGGTATTACCAAATGGTTACCCATCTAGGTACTGAGCAGGCTTGATGTTACTTAACTTCAGTGATTGCATAATTTCAACATGATCAGTTTTTCTCTCCAGAATCTATCTTACATATTTATAAGTCTACCATTTGTTCAAGCTTTGAATATTGCTGCCACATATGGTTCAGTGTTCCTGCTATATATTTAGAGATTCTTGATAAAATCCAAAGAAGAATCCACAATGTTATTGGCATCTCAGTTTTAGTCACTTTCCCACCACCATAATGTAGCTTCCCTGTGCCTTTTCTAAAAATACTTTCATGGTACTTGCTCTTGTAAACCTTTCACTATGGTACCTAGACTTTATGAATTTAAGTGCAGCACCATTACTCCACCATGCCTCCTGGAGGCTATCCGTTAATCCACCATGTCTGTCTAGGAGGCACAGTGGAGTAATGGATAGCATCTCGGATTGAGGAATTGGAGAGCCAAGTTCAAATTCCAGTTGAATCCATTACATTCACTTACGTGTTAATACCCTTGGGAACGGTCTCAATCCTCTTCTTCTCCACCCAGCTATGGGTAAATAGCAGGACAGACCGGGTTCTATAGCCTTAGATGGCAACTGGTCTACTGTAGAAAGAAATGGCAACCTACTGTGGGAAAAAAAAATCTGCCTTGTTAGTCATGTATCAAAAGATACATGATCACCTAAGCATGTATCACACATGGCACATAACTGACTGACCAGATTGGCAACAAGGTTTCATACAGTTGAATTGGCTAGATGCAACTGTTAACAGTTTCTTTTCTCACACTTCTTGCTTGTGGAACTCTCTTCCAGATCCATGCTTTACAACCAACTTTGATCTTCAAAAATTTAAATGCAATGTCAGTTGTTATCAACTGTCTTCTTGATTCCTCTTCTTTTATTGTTCTTGCTTCTTAATATTTTTCTCATTTTTTTACACTCAGTAACCCCCTTGTGTCTTGAAGTGAAATGATTAAAAAAAAATTAAAAATATGGCTGAAAACCTTTTATAGACTTTATTTTTGCTTAAACTTGTTGCCAAGAAACACATTCAACTGAACTTGACTTCAAGCTTAAAACAGAAGTAATATGAATGTTCTTTCTCTGAAGACTATTTCAATTTGTTTGATTAAAAGGAAAATTGCTGTAACTCTTAAAGAAATCATTGATGTTGTTGTTATCTAAAAGCTTCAAGTAGTGTTTATTTAACATTTTTGTTTTGTTTTTACACAAGAGATTCAGTGATAACCATCTTGAAATCATGCTGGCTTTTCTGAGGATTCTTCACGTGTGTAGATAAATGTGAATTAAAACGAAATCCACTTTAATGTTTTATTAGTTCACTGGAAAATACGAATTTCATCTTTTTGAATTTTACCTTTGTTAAGCAAGCATATAGAAAGACAAAATCAATTTTGGAGGCAAAGTCTGATTGTGTTATTTATTGATATATATACTTGTTTTTATAATTCTGTCATTGTCAATAGATTTTTGTTATGTTTTCCATTACTGATTTTGATTAATATAGTAATATCTTTGTCATTATTAATTATTTTGTCTTTTCATTTAATTTTTGTTGCTTTTTATCAAAACACTCAAGCTGTTCTTACAAACTACAACTGCTAAGTAAAATTTAAGATAAGGAATTAGCTTCCAATTAAATTTTAACTTCAATCTTTTCTTGGGAGTTCATCTGACATGGACAGCAACTTATTGATTCTGCCACCAAAGCCAACTAGTAGGCAAAATTAAATTTAGTCATATTTGCTGAAAGGCTGCCAAAGGTAGCCCATAAGCTCACTATCAAGTCACTTTCTATTTATAAAATTTAGATTATAATATTTGGCACTACTTAAATAGAATGGTCCATTCATAAAAAATAGGAAAAATATTTTGTAGATTAGTTTTCGTTAAACTTTCCTCAAGGCATGATATTTGTCAGAAAGATATTGATTTATTATTGATTCAGAAGGGGATTCAGTTCATAATATCAATACAGTGTAAAATCAATCTTTGACTTTTTACAGAGTTTCTGGACTTAGACGTTATTTACAAATGTTGAGTTTGAAAGTGTGCTTACATCATTGAATTCTGCATTTATTTTTAATTTTCTGAATTTTTAAAACTTTTTATACAGTGTAACCCGGATATAAGAGAAACCCGGATAGAAGAGAGATTTCCTCTGGTCCCAAATTAGAGCCTGTGTTAATGTATATAAAATAGACCAAACCTGGATATAATTTAAAAAAACCCCATATAAGAGACTTCTTCTCTGGTCCCGACAACTCTCTTATATCCGGGTTACACTGTATAAATTTTTTATAAAATCATTTTTCTGGGCTGGGGTGATATTTTTCAGAAGCACATACTCAACATTGAGGGATAATAATTATTTATCTTAAATGTAAAAGAAATGGATATATATTTTTATTAATTTACACAAATTTTAGTTCGTTAATTATATATATATATATATATATATATATATATATGTATAATAGATGCGAATGTCACTGTGTCACATTTTTTCAACTTTATTCCTAGAGTCTGTAGCTCAACATATCATACCATTTTGGAGTCAGGCTGTCTCACTGAGCAAATTAAAAAAAACTCCAGGCTGGATCAGAGAGCCACAATCTTGATATTTTAGATTTCCATGTTTTCTTTACTGCAATCATTTTCAGCAATTTTTTTCAGGTGATTTTTGTGACAAATTTTTTTGTACAATAATAATTTTTATAACTTGGAAATAAATTTAGAAATAATCAAAATTAATTGCAAAATCCAGCGAAAGTCACCTATGAAACAAAAATAATTATTTGTACAGAAAGTAAGGAACTAAGTACATCAAATTGTCTTTAAATTAAGTGGGAACAAAAATTATCATTGAACTTTTAAAAGGTAAGTTTAAACATTAATGCATACTTGATCAATTTTGAGTAGTTTATTGTTGCCTATCGCATCTGGTCCTCTCTATTTATTGTGCTGAAGGCCCAATCAAGAGCCCTCTGCAGGAGCTAGCTTAAATGCTAGTATATATATATATATATATATATATATATATATATATATATATATATATTTGTTTACATGAATTAAATCTGACAGATTTTTTATTTATTTGTTTAAACATTATTTTATAAAATGATACTCATATTTGAGTAGATGTTCTGTTTTGTTAGAAAAAAAAATACTAACAAGATTTCTCAAAATATTCAGGCTGGTAGATGTAAATAAATAAATATACTGTTTAATAAATAAACAAAAACACAGCATCTATTCAAATATGAGTATCAATTATAAAATAACATTTAAACAAATAAATTAAAAATCTGTCAGATTTAATCCACTTCCTAAAAAAATGTTAGGATGCAAAACAGAGCAGACATGTATATTTCAAGAATCAGGTAGTATGTGTTCAAAAGCACTATTCAGGCTTTGTTTGATCAGGAGATCCTCTGTGGCTGAGTTGGTCTAAGGCACATCAGTTCTAATGTGTGTTCTCCCAAGGATATGCAGGTTCATATCCTGGTGAAAGACACATTTTTCTCACAAGATTTCTCAAATATTCAGGCCAGTAGATGTAAATAAATAAATATACTGTTTAATAAATAAAAATAGAGCAGCTACTCAAATATGAGTATCCATTTCTAAAATAACTTTTAAACAAATAAATGAAAAAACATTTATATATATATGTGTGTGTGTGTGTGTGTGTGTGTGTGTGTGTGTGTGTGTGTGTGTGTGTATGTGTTGCCTATTTAAAAGAAAAAATCTCTTTTCTTGTACAAGAACACTATGTCCAGATAACTCCATAGAAAATCAGGGATCAATTTTACA